GGGAAGAGGCAGGTCCGCGCCTACGGCCGTGGCAGTGGAGACGTTCCGGTCCCCTTAGGTCTGCACCCGGGACTCCGGTCAGAGCGCGGGATCCGGGACGTTCCCGCGCCAGGGGTGGGGCGGGGAGCCGGGGAGCGCGGAAAAGAAAATTGACCGTGGTGGTAACAGGTATAACGGCAGCAATCGGCAGATCCCCGCCTTTCCCGGGGTGAGATCGCTGGCCCGATCAGAGCAGGGGGGTGGGGAGAATGTCCACCCCAGGGTGGTGCGGGGAGTGGGATCCTGGGGCCCGGGAAGACCTACTTAGTTTAAGAAAAGGAGAGATGGGTGGCCAGGGAGGACTTGAAAGGAAACTGACCCGCCCAGGGGGCAGAGGGGAGGAGAAGGACTAGGTTCTTGGGGTTCTGACCCTTTCTGAAGGCCCCATTGAGCTAATTTGCATCTATGGGGTGTGTGTGGACATGTCACCACCTTGGTTAACTAGGTCTGGTAGCTTCGTCGTTAACCTGGTAGCTCAGCTGCTTTCCTACCCTGGCCACTGAAGAGCTGGCTAAATTGTTTACGGAGCTGATCCTTCTCATTTTCTTGAGACTGAGCACTGAGGCCCCAGGGAGGGTGGTCTGTGAGTCTCCTGCGCCTGCCATTGACCCAAGCTGATGGGCTCCTGAGTCAAACTCATTAATGTGTTTTTCGAGTAGTGGGGGATGGGTTTGGACGTCGTTTCTGAAGCCTTCCGAGAAGGAATCCGTGGCTTGGAGACTGAACGGATAAAGGAGTCCAGGATCTGGTCACCAGGGAGACTCGATAATGCCTGCTTTGGCCTTCTCGGGCACACCCTATGCGACTTTTCTCAAACCAGTTTCCTCTCAGGTCACACCTTGGCTCCATACCTCCAAGGGCTGCCCTGTGCTGGCTGAAAAAAATCTGCCCTTTTGCACAGGGCACGGGCAATGGCCCCGCTCTGTGGTCCCACCCACCTGGGTTCGCTCCCTTTTCCTGCCGCTCACCGGCTTGCAGCCAGCAAATGATTTGACATCTCACAGCTCCAGTTTCCTTTTCAGGAAAATGGAGATTGCACTAGAATGACCAGATCTCCATTCCCCTCCCACCCCACTGATGGAGAGAACGAGGCCCTGGCCCTGGCCCACCCTAATTTATTTTATCCAGGGATTTAATGTAATTCTTCAGCCACTTGCTTAATTTTTATCAGTCTCTGTTAAATACTAATCCTGGAGATGAAGTTATTTCTCTTAAAACACTCAGGTGTTACCCTGGGTGGGGGGAAAGGGCCCTGGGGCCTGATGACCCTTGACTAAGCTTGGAGTGCAGTGGTCATTAGAAAACGTATATATCCCATTAATCCCATTTACTGTGGTCTTTCCCTTCAGGCAAACACCTGGGAGCCTTTCTGGCCCTGCTGTTTCCTTCAGTCCATCAGCCAATAGCGAGGGCTCTCGACTTGCAAAATATGTGCTAATCTGACCACTTCTCCTACGCTCACTGTTCCCACCCCATCTCAGGCACCACCACCATCCACTCCCGACCAGTGCGGTGCCTTCCCCACTGGGATCCCTACTTCTCCCTTTGCCCCCCACTGTCCATTCTCCATGCAGCAGGCAGAGGGATCCTGTGAAAACCAAAGTCAGGTCCTGTCCCTCCTCTGCCCAGAGCCTCCCATGGCTCCCATTTCACAGCGTAGAGACCCAAGTTCTCACCATGGTCCCCAAGGCTTCTGCGTTCTGCCCCTGACCCCAGCTCCTCCACACCGGCCTCTTTGCTAAGCTTCGGAGTCGCCCTTACACAGTCTGCATTTGCTGTTCCCGCTGACTGAAAGGCTTTCCCCTTAGATGTCCACGTGGCTCACTTCTTCATTCCATTTAGGTCTGTGCTCACAGATCACCTGAGCCCCTTCCCTTCTGGAAACTACCCCCCACCCCCACCCCAGGCTGGACCAGGCATCTCCTCTGGGCTCCTGAGGCCCTGGGGCTCCTTCATTCCAGCCCTGCCCACTCTGGGTCGTCATTGTCTAGAGACAAGTCTGTGTCACCCACTGGACTGTGAGCCCACAAGGACAGGGCTGGGCCACTTCACTTATAGCTGTGTCCCCAGCACCGCCCAGCGTGGGCCAGGCACAGAGCAGGCGCTAAGATAATGCGGATAAGTGAATCTTTACATTCCTTCAACAAATATTTACAGAACTTTCCCTGCGTGCCAGGCCCTAAGTGGGGCTGGGGCTGGAGACCCGAAGTAATCGGACATGCCCCTTCTCAGAGGCTTATGTTCTGTGCCGGGACAGACAGTGCACAGGAAAACATCTATATTTAGTCAGGAAGAGATGGTGCTGTCAAGAAAAGCTAGCGTGGGGTGGAGGGGCTGCTCTTTTCCTCCCCACAAAGCTGGTGACCTGAGCAGTGACCTGAGTGAAGTGAGGGAGGAAGGTGAGCCACGGATATGGAAATACGTAGACGTCTCCCACCTGGACGAGGGGTCTAGGCAGTAAGAACAGCACGTGCAAAGTCCCCGAGGTGGGAATGTGCTTGGCCTATTCAAGGACCAACAAGAGCAGTGAGCGAAGGGCGGAGGGCTGGGAGATGACGCCAGAGCTGAGGCCTTGTAGCCTTTGTAAGGACTTGGGGTTTTGCTCTAGGGGAGGTGGGAGAGGGGACGGCTCTGAGCAGAGGAGGAATGTGATCGGACTTAGTTCTAACAGGATCCCTCAGCCGTGTGGGGGAGAGACTGGGGTGAGGGTGGAGGCTGGGAGCCCAGTGGGGAGGAGGTGCTGGTGGCTGGATGAAGAGAAGGCAGTGACGGGGGATGAGAAGTTGCCAGATTCTGGGCCCATTTTTTTTTTTTTTTCTGAGTGCGTTTTGAAGGCGGAGGTGACAAGCTTTCCTGAGGGGTTTTTCACGTGGGCGGTGGAGAAATGGAGGAGTCTGGGACACTGGAATGTCCTTTGCCCGTGGAATCACCAACCTCCCCGCAGAGATTCGCCCTTCTGCCAACACTCTAGAAGGTCTTTTTTTATGCTTCCTCTCACAGACGAGGACCCGGAGCAGAGAGCCGCTGGTAGAGTTGCAGTGACCTGTCCACACCGCTGGCAGCGAACCTGAGGCCAGGCTCCACCGTCTCCCTGCGTCCACACCCTTTCCCTGCCCCCCGCCGGTGGTAAGTTGCGGCTTCACCCCCTCTTCTTGCGTGACCCATGGGCTAAGGGTGGGTTTTACATTTTTAAATGCTGGCAAACTTCAAAAAAAAAAAAATTTCGCAGCCTGTGAAATCATATAAAACTGAAATTTCAGTGTCCCCATAAGTAAAGTTTCATTGGAGCACAGCCAAGTTCATTGTTTACATTTCGTTTGCGGCTTTCCTGCTTACTATGGCAGTGTTGTGACAGTGACCCTATGGCCCACGAAGTCTAAAATGTTTGCTGTCGGGCCCTTTACAGAGAAAAATACTGACTTTTGCCAATAAGGATTCAACTTGGGCACCCCACTGGGGGTGTCTGATTAGTAGGACATGGCAGCTAGTTACATAGGGACCTTAGAAAGGTCTGGGTAGGGGACGGACCGTTTGGGGATAGGCGAGGGCGTTCGGATTCCCCAGAGGGAATCTACCATTTTTTTAAGGGACAGGGAAGCATTACAATACCTCCCTTCCTTTTTACAATTAGGATTTAAAACTTATTTGAATAGGTTATACAAACACATGGGACAGAATTAAAAAGGTACGAAGAGGCAGACAGCTCGAAGTCTCCCGCAGGGGCTGTTCGTGGGCGGAAGGACAGAATGGTGTTCACAGTTTCAGGGATTCTGTCAGACCGCCCTCTTTGAGGCTGTCCTGACACCTGGCCACAAGGGACTGAAGATGTTCCTCTACAGCTGCACCAGCAGATGCTCTATCAGCTCTAATCTGGGAGGTGCAGATCCTATAGCTTCTCAGTGAGGTTCTGAATACATCACATACTCAGTCGCCATCTTTGTCCTCCCTCCATCACTGGTTCTCGACTAGAGTAATTTTTTTTGTCCCTCAGGGGACATTTGGTAATATATGGAGATTTTTTTTTTTTATGACTTTATTGAGATGTAATTTTCATACCATGATATTCACCAATGGAGACCATTTTGGTTGTCACAACTTGGGGTGGGGGTAGGGGGCACCACTGGCATCTAGTGGGTGCTAAAACCCTACACCTATGCACAAGACGGCCCCCCGCAGCATGACAAACAGTGATCCAGCCCAGTGTCAATAGGGTGAGGTGGAGAAACCTTGGTTTGCAGCCTTGGCTCTTTTCCCTGCAGGGTCCTTTCTGGCAAGGAGCTCACAGTCGAGCCACAGAGACAGGAGGAGCCTAAGGAGAAGAAGGACAATCTCTGTCACCTCGGGACTGTGAGTGACTCCAAGATGGGACACTGTGTGTCGAATACTTGTCGATTCATTTAATCACTTTAGAGAGAAGGAGACTGAGCCACAGAGCGAGGCAGCTTCCTGAAACACGGGTCCTCTCTCTCCCTCCGTCCCCGAAGCCAGCCCTGTATGCAATACTATGTTCCAGGCGAGAGCTAAACAGTGTGCATTTGTTAGGTCATTTAGTCTCCATGACAACCCTGGGAGATGGGTCCTTCTGTCATCTCTATTTCACAGATGGAGAAACTGAGACACAGAGCAGTTAAGCAATTTACCCTGTTCACACAGCAATACTAATAACAACTGTAACTGACTTTTATTTTATGGAGAACCTGGTATGTACCAAGCCCTGTCATGCACGAGCCTGTTGAATCCTGATAACAAGCAGAGGTGGCAGTTGGTGCTCTTTCTCCATATAATGCTAGAGAAAACTGTCTCTTGCTTGAGGTCGCCCAGCTAAGCACACCTGGGAGCTTAATCTTCACTGCATTCATTGGCATGGAGCCTGGTCTCTATGCCACTTAGTGTTCCAGGATGTGCGGCTACAATGGGGGCATAATATCAAGGTCACTGTCTGGGGAAGCAGCCATCTCACAGGAGAGCTATGCCTCGGAGGGGTCTGTACTGCAAAGGGTGAAGAAGCTGACTGAGGGGATGGAGAGGGATGAAGGCAGATCTTTAAGACAGGGAGGTCAGGGAAGGGGGAAGGGAGGTAGAGGCGGATGGAACCACAAATGCCCGGGCCTGTGCAGGCGTGCTTGAGGACCAGCGAGGCGGCCAGTGTGGCGGCCAGCGCAGCTGAGCGGGGCGTGTGTGTGTGTGTGTGTGTGTGTGTGTGTGTGTGTGTGTGTGGAACCTGGCAGGATCCAGAGCATGGGGGCTTGGAGGGCTGTGGTGAGGACTTTGGCTTTGACTTAAACCACCTGAAGGCTCTGAGCAGAGGAGGGATGTGATCTGACTCATGTCCCTCTGACTGTGTGTGTGGGGAAGAGGGGTGGGGTGTGAAGTTGGGTGAAGTTGGGAGGGGAGAGGGAGGGGGGCAGCGCACAGTTGACTTGAATAGTCCAGGCAGGAAGTGACAGTGGCTGGACCAAGATATTAGCAGTTAAGAGAGTGAGAAGTGTTAGGTTGTGGGGGGAAAAAAAAAATATACCTCCAACACACAGCCTTTCTTTATTTTTTATGACCTTGACATTTTTGAAGAATTTAGGTACATTTTTTTGTAGAATGTCCCTCAATTTGATTAGATCGATTAGACGGGATTGTCCCTCGTGATTGGATTTAGGTAATCCATTCTGCGTAGGAACACCACACACCTGTGTCTTGCCCTCTGAGCATCACTTCAGGAGGCACATGGTGTCTGTTCCATTACTGCACATGGTGGCTTTGATGCCTAAGCGATGGAGTCTGCTAGGTTTCTCCACTAGAAAGTTACTCTTTACAATGAATATCTTGTGAGGAGGTACTTCAGGTCCGTAGGTCCGTAGATATCCTGGACCTCATCAGACGTTCCTCCACAAGTTCTAGTATCCATTAATGATTTTAGCTGCCACTCTACAGTAAGGAAGAATTTTCCTTCTCCTTTATTTATTTGTTTATTTATAATAAGCATAGACTCGTGGATTTCTATTTTATCCGATGGGTTGTAATCTGTCATTAGCATTATTTTAATGTTCAGATCATTCCAGATTTGGCCAGTCAGAGCCCTTTTAAGCTGGCCCCTGTGTGAGGAGTTTATTTGGGAGATAGCATTCCCTGATGGATTGGATGGGCTGTGGGTGAGAAAGGAGAAGAGGCAGGGGTTGATTCTTTCAGCGTATATTTATGGCCAGGAACTGGGGATAAAGCTATGACAAAAGCAGACGAAAGTCCCTGCTCTCCTGGGCCTCACGGATGGTGGTGTCAGTTCCCGGGAAGTAGGGACTGGTGCAGAGATGGTGCAGATTTCAGGAGTGGGAGGTGGTCAGGAGTCATGTTCTGGACAGGCTTAAGGGGAGAGGCGGTAGACAAGCCCGGGCGCCCAGTCCCCAGTCCCCCCTCTTGCTGTTTTCCCACTTCCCCATGTAATGGCTCCCTGTTCTTCTTCACCCAACAGCCGGGACGATGCAGACTCCGCTAACCAGTCCTGTGCCTGTGCTCCGGCTCCCCCGGGGCCCTGATGGCTTGAGCCGAGGCTTTGCCCCCGATGGACGCAGGGCCCCCCTGAAGCCAGAGGTTCTTGAAACCCTGCAGTCTCCCATAGTTTACGAATGTCGGGAATTCCAGGAGCAGCGGGCCCGAGCTGCCCTGCGGGAGCGCTACCTCCGTAGCCTGCTGGCCATGGTGGGTCGCCAGGTCAGCTTCACCTTGCACGAGGGTGTGCACGTGACTGCCCACTTTGGAGCCACTGACCTGGACGTGGCCAACTTCTACGTGTCACAGCTGCAGACTCCGATAGGTGTGCAGGCTGAGGCACTGCTCCGGTGTAGTGATATTATTGCATACACCTTCAAGCTCTAAAGACACTATCGTGGTCACCTTCTGCATTAGGCCTGGCCACAGATTCCCAGGCCTCCAACTGTTCAGATCTCTGGGCCTCCTAAAGTTTGGAACTCCCTTAGAATTTCGAGCCAAGCTCCAAGCAACCCTGGCTTTTTGGGACCTCCGGGGTCTGGTCAGTAAAATTCTGCAACCCTAGGAGTTCTGGATCCCGTTGAAAAGACTGCTCTACCTCACAGAATTCTGGACTGTAAGAAATGTGGACTTCATGTCAGTTTCTAAAGACTGGGGGGGCGGTGTATGGAGAGGGAGGTGGCAGTCAGTTGGAATAAAGGCAAATTGCAGAGTGGGAAATTGTTTATCATAGAAGTTGCAAAATTCAGCCACCCTGAACATACTCCCCAACACACCCCCCTGCCAAAGAATCAATTATTATTCCAAGAAATTCGCCTTTTTTTTTAAAGTGTACCCTACATGGATGAAGCCAGATTTAGGGGGTGGAAGGATAGCCGTCCAAAGACTGAACCCGGTGGAGCTGGGCCAAGAAGGAGAGGACACATCAAAAGGCGCCCCTAGTCTCCCGGAATGGCTGGGGCGATCTGGGTGCCAGGCCTGGATGATTTGGACTCAGATTTCTTTATTGGGTGGGCAGGGATCACGCTGGGTTGTGTGGCCGTGCACTCCCACTTGGGTGGTGCAGGGCGCACACCACCGTAGATTCGCTTCCCAGCCCGCGTGGGGAAGGGGAGGACACCGCGCGGCGCCATTGAGAAAAAAAAGACTGAGTATTAGGGGTTAGGGTGAAGCTTCACCTCTTCATTTCGCTCCAGCTGTGTGGTATGGTCGTCCATATAACTCGCTTCACTCAGCCCCGTCACTAATAGGCTATAAGCAGATTTGCTTTGAAAAGTAATTTCTGCTCCCCTTGTACTCCCATCGACTTCAGAATGTAAGTGAAGATTCCATTATACAGGTGAGATTTGCTTCGTCTTCAGTCACGAAAGTGCGGCGGCGGATGCTGTCGAAGGCAAGTGGAAAGTCTCAGCTCTCAAGTCCATTCACAACGCCACCTCCGGCGAGTCCCTGGCCTAGCTCTCGAGTTGCCTTGGCAACGACGTCGCTCGGTCCGCCCCAAGTTTCCTTTTTTGGCTTTAGTCCCGCCTCCCCCACCCCAAGTTGCTGGAGGGGCTGGGAAAAAATGGCGAAAGTGCGGAGGCGAAAATTAAGTGATTCACATGAGTCCGGGTAGGGACGGGGACTACGGGGGCGTGGCTTGAGGCGCTGATTCGCTCCTGGCTCGGTGATTTACCTGCTCCATAGCCCAGTATTTTGGTTGGCAGATTCGTCTCTTGCTTTTGGCTGTGATAGTCCGTATGGGCTCATATTTATTTTAGTTTATACATTTAAGTTGTATCTTATACAACGCTATCCGAATACAGAGAATTATTGATGAAACTGCAGTCTGCAAGGGGAAGGCTAGAGACTAGCAAGGGGGCATAAGCTTCGTCTCCAGGTACAGGATCTCTCTTGTCAGCATCCACCGCCCGTATTCATATATTCAACCGGCTCCTAACGCCTTTCCTTTCCACTTCTCCACCCCTTTACCTCTCTCCTTATCAGCTGGCCTAGCGCCGCCAAGCAGATGTTTTCTATTCCTATCAACTCCACTCCCTTTTCCGTCGCCTGAGCTCGTGACGAATGTGTGCGAACCTGGAGCTCAGTTATCTAGGTGGAGGCGGGGCGGGGCGGCGCGGTGGGGGCGGCTCAGGTTCGCGCGTGCGCGCTGCTCCGGGAGACGGCGTCCACCTCGCCCCGCCCCTCCCGTTCTGCAGTTCCGGCTCTGCAGATTCGGGGCTCACGTTTCTTTTTCCCGTGGCTGTTGCTGCCTTTTGTTCCCCCTTTCAGCAACCCGCGAGGCAGCTCTACCTGCGAATAGCTCGAAGCGATTTTCTGCTTTGCTCGGTACGTGGCGGGCTCACCAGCCCTTAACGAAAGTGCGGCTGCGAACGAGCAGGCGCGCGGGGCTCGGGGGAGGCGCGTTGGGGCTCCCGGCGGCGACGACTACGACGACCAGGAGAGCGGACGGAGGCGGCGCCTGAAGCGGCGGCGTTGCCCAT